CGATAGAATCGCATCGTGGCATGTGAATCGTGATTCGAATCGAATCGTGACTTCTTTGCCAATACCCACCCCTACTTCTATTCAAATCAGCCCTTTATTTCAAATATTTTTGCCGATGTATTCATAGCCACTGAGACAATTTGAGAGCAAAAAGGTTTTCAAAAAAGGATTAAACCGATTTCCAGATTCATTAAGACTTGAACTACTGAACAAATCCTTGTTGGTGAACATCAGAGACTCAGTACTGTCCTGTGTGCAGACTACACTAAATGCAAACAGGACTTAATAGGGATAAATAACGAGATATCAACTTTTTATGACCTGACATGTAATTTAAATTTTTATGTTGGTTACTTCAATCTACTTCAATCTTGCAAACCTGTATGATGCCTTTGATTTTTTTTTAGATTAAACCATCCTCTTCCCATTTTGATGTTCTCATTTAGAGAGAACTTTATATCTGTAAATAAATGTACTCTATCAAAGTACATTTATATACATGTTTAAGCCAGAATGATTTGACATTTAAATATGATTTCCCAACGACCTTAACGCTACTTATTAATTTTGGTACTTATAAACGTTTTCACAATGGTTTATAAAGTATGTTTTAGTGAAGCAGTAATGATCAGAACTTGCTCTCTTTTCCTTCTACATAACAATCCATTCTTCTAGCTTTTTTTTATTTTTACTTTCCAAAGGTAAAACTTTTTAAGATGGCACCAGACAGAGGGTTTATCAATTGAGCAGACGCACACTCAGATACAGTACAAATGTAACTTCTTTTTTAACTTGGCATCGCCATCCGGTGGCTTCTCTGTCAACTGTCCAATTCTTTTAAAAAATTTGTTAAGATTAAGGAGGGCATACACCGTACGATAATTTAAATAGTTGTACTCAGCTACAGCTCAAATTGTACGACGAAACCGAAGAGTTTAAAAGTTCACAGCTCATGATGTACTATGTACTTACACTGTACAGTACAATGCTTGAATTTCTCCCAACCTTGTGATTCCTAATCGGGAGGTGGTCGTGAGAGGCTGATTGCCCCTCGTTACCCCCTGTATACTACACAACGCACGACACATGATGAGGCTGAAACTCGGCCCGATCGAAAAAATTATTTTATGACTGGCGAAATTGGCCTGAAAAGGGAGAAATTGTACAGTGTATGCCCAGCTTGAGTCGAGTAATCGAAAATTTGTGGAAAGATTAGTTTTAGAAAATTAGTTGTTAGTGGCAGCGTTACAGTGTTTGTTAGTTTGTACAGTTTTTGTCACATTTTTGTTGGTAGTACTGTTAACCGTTTCTTTTTTAAATAATTGTCGTCATTACATGGGCTGCTTAGCGGCGCAGTGGTGCAGCAGAAGGTTCCCAGCCTGGGGTCTGTTTGCATGTTCTGAGCATGGAAGGTTTCTCTCCGGGTACTCCGGCTTCTTCCCACAGTCCAAAAACATGACTGTTAGGTTAATTGGATTTTCTAAATTCCCCTTAGGTGAGAGTTTGTGTGCATGGTTGTTTGTCCTGTTTTTCTATGTGTTGCCCTGAGATAAACTGCCGACCTGTCCAGGGTGTACCCCGCCTCTCGCCCGTAGACAGCTGGAGATAGGTGCCAGTGCCCCTCGCAACCCAGCTGACATGAGCGTGACGGAAAAGTGTATAGATGGATGTTGTCATTGCAGAGACAGCAGATGAAAGAGAACCTTGCAACAAAGAAAAATGTTTAGAACTTAATGTTTCTTAGCTTCCCTGTGTCACTGAATATTAAATCTAATCTTTTAGCTTTATTCTTTAAGAATACCTGCCAGAAGATACAGATTAAATTCATTCAAATGTAGAAGCTGTTCAAGAGTCTCTCCACCTCCCCTCACAGGAGTGGGAAGGAGAAGAGGAGTAATTTTTCTCCTCATTAACTTCCTGATTGGTTTTGGACTCCAATTTTTGCTCGTCTGCAGTTTGTCACCAGTTCAGAACTGACAGCTCGATCGTTAATACTAATGTTTGTGTAGCTTTCATTCCTCAGCGGTCTATTTGTACAGCAATAACAGCAGAGTGGCGAGGAGGGCGGCTGTGAATTAGCATGCTTGCTGTTAATTCTGCCTCTGTTCATCAGCAGGAAATCTACGACGTAATTAAAGGTTGAAACGAAGCGGACGTGTTAGTTTTAGCGGGATGTTAAATCACGACACATGTTCTTCGCATCGTTTGGCTATCCTCTGATCTGCTGTGTAATTAGTGTCAGACCACTGAAACAGCAGAAATCCTTGTTCTTAATTAGCAGTTAAAGACCTGTTGTTTTATAAATGTACTAGTGGCTATCATTGTCAGCCCGTCGTTAGTCATTGTAGCTGCATGTATAAATGTAACTCAACTTTGTCAGGGCTATACCTAACTTTTTCAGGTACAAAGATGCTGTAAAGCTGCATGATACTAATCATACCACCCCTTTTTCCCCACCGGGGACATTTTTCTTTCTAACCACAGATGATTAAAAGTCATTTTCTATAATACATTGAGTCTATTGTAAATATGTGTTGTTATATGAGACAAATAATGTCTGCCAACATGACATTTCTTATTTATTTTAGTTTTAATCAGTTTTAATCAGAGTTAAGATGTGTACACTTTAAATAAAACCCAAATGTAATGAGTTCTAAATCTCACAAAAGAATTCAGAAGACTATTTGTATCGAGGTAAACTGAACCTGAGAAAGTTTTGTTTCTTAAATGAACTTTTGCCCTTTTCTCAGTCACTAAGCACAATATATATAAGATTTCTAAACTATTAAACTGTCTTTGTGTGACTAACAAAAGGAAGCTTTTTTAACCTCCCACTTGTCTTGCAGAGAAAAAAGAGGGAGGGTTTCAATGAAGGTGCAATCATTTCTGGCACTGCCAAAAAAAAAGGAGGGGGAACAAAAGCCCAGATGTGAGAGGAGATGGTAATTCAGTCTGATCCAGTGAGGATAAGCTCTCCCTG